GTATGTCAAATCATCACATTGTATGCTTTATATTACAATTTTACTTGTCAGTTATGCCTCAATAAAACTGGAAAAATAAAATGGGGGAAGAGACCACTAGAATGTACCAAGGTTAATCAAAATCACTGTAACATGCCAACTGCATTTCTTTACATAGTAAAATTTATCTAGAAAGTGTGATTTCTAAAAGGTATCTTTAACAACAATACTAGATAAATATCTGGAAATTACTCTAAAAAAATGGTGTGGAAGCCCATTATGGTAAAATTTGTCACTTTTTTATTGATGGACATTAAGAAACGCCTAAACAAATGGAAAAAGAATATTCGATCTCTTGGACAGACATACATAATCGCAGAAATCAATTTTCCTCAAATAGCTTTATAGATTCAAGGCAAACCTTGGAATCTTAATTGTATTTGAGAGGTTGTTTTAAAATGTATATGATGAACAATAGAGAAAGAATATCTGACTTGATGGCAAACGAGAATACGTGTCTTGCCAAATACAAAGTTCTATCATGGAGCAATAGTAGCTAAAATGATATGATTCTGGAACAGATAGAAAAACAGCCCCAACTGAACCCTCACCAATATGAAGATTTTATTCAGGACAGAGAAGGCATTAGATACTTTCTTTATGACAAGGTTACATTGCAGGGAAATAATGGCACCAGTAAATAGTGCTGAAGTTATCGTTACCCATATTGGAAAAAATGAAATTTGGTTCGATCCACAAAATAATAAAAAATCATTCCAAACTATCAAAACCTTAAATGTGAAAGGCAAATGATTAAATGTTTAGAGAATAATACAGCAATTACTTTTATGAACTTGGAAAGTTAGTCATTAGTTAAATAAGATAAAATAATGACAACTCAAAAATGAAGAGTGATTATTTCAACCTCTTTAAAAATAACATGATAATATTTTAACATCTAGAATATATAACAAGCTCCTTCAACTGAACAACATGACTTTTTAAATGGGCAAAGGACTTAAACAGACATTTCTCCAGAAAAAATATTCATACAGCCAACAAGCACTTGAACAGATGCCCAATTAAGGAAATGCAAATCAAAACTACAATGAGATCCTACCAGATATGCCTTAGGATAGCTACTATGAAAAAAAGGGAAATAACAAATGATGATGTGGAGAAACTGGAACCCTTGTGCACTATTGGTGGAAATGTGAAATAGTGCAGCTTCTATGGGAAACAGTATGACATTTCCTTAAAATATTAAAAATAGAATTATCCTATGATCTAATAATTCTACTTTTGGGTATATTCCCATGAGAAATGAAAGCAAGGACTCAAACACACATTTGTACATGCATGTTCATAGCAGCGTTATTCACAATAGCCAAAAGGTGGGCATAAACCAAATGTCCATTGACTGATGAATAGATAGATAAAAGATGATATATACATGCATTGGAATGTTATTCAGCCTTTACAAGAAAGGAAATTCTGATACATGCTACATGGATGAACTTTGAAGACATTATGGTGAGTGAAATAAGACAATCACAAAAGAACAAAAAGAAGTATGACTCTACTTATCCCAAATGTCCAGAACAGTAACTGGCACAGAGTACATGTTTAATAAATATTTGCTAAATAAATGAATGAATAAATCAGCATGTTCACAACAGCCTCACATAATAGATATTCATGGAAATTTTGTCCACATGCCAATTACCAGACTTCTCAAAATTTTCCTTAATATGCAGAGTCTTCAATAAGTATATGGGAATCCACACCCAGTAAATGGTCTACTGATGACTTTCACCTATGCTAAATCACAATGAAGTACAAACAGATGCAATATTTCCTTCTTGGTTTGCTTCAAATTGTGCAGGGTCAGGAAATAAGTTAATGTCCTTCCAAACCCCCACAAGGCGTAACAGCAGTTGGGGGTGTGTCCCTAATTGCCAAAATGGAGAGGAAATGACAACTATGCCTAGATGTAAGTATCAACAAAATATGATGCATGTCAGCCCAGATGGAAGTCAACTTCCCATCAGAAACAGGGGCAAGAAGGAGAAAAAAACTGGTGGCTGATGGACCATGTTGGGAGGAATAATGATTACAGTTCTGTTTTCTACTTACGTGGAAAGAATTGTGAAAATATATAAAAGCTGAAAAAGTCTTGGGAAACATCAAAATCTGCCTTGGCATGATAGCCCAATACCATGACACCAGATTTTTACTGTGTTGCGGACTGGTGAGTTTTATCTTCTAAGGCTGAAAGTGAAGAATGAGTCATTTGCAATTTTAAAATGTAATAAGGAACCTGAAATTGCTCCACCCAGACCCATTTCACAGATAACCACCAACCTGAGGGCACCTGCCCTCCTACAGCAATGAGCCCAGCAGAGTTAATTACTAATTAGGAAAAATCATCCAATTATGCTAACCTGCTGAGGCCGGCAAGCCTTGTTTTACTTCATGTAGGCAGAATTTCATCCAGAAGCCACTTGAGAATTGTCTATAAAAAGGCAAACAAACACTTGAGACGAGAAGGCAGTCCATTCTGGCTTCCACACACACAGCTCTGCAATACGCTTGCACTGATACCATGTCTCTTCAGCTTCCCAGCGGTCCCAGGAGAGCCTGTCCCCGTTCGACCACAGGATCGCTCAGGCTCTCCACGGGGGCAGCCAGCTTTGGGGCTGGCAATGCTTGTAGCATGCCTGGAATTGGAAGCAGCTTCTCATGTGCTTTCGGGGGCAGCTCATCAGGAGGAGTTGCAGGAGGAAGCAGTCCCTGTGCTAGCTTTACTGTGAATGAGGGGGGCCTCCTATCCGGCAATGAGAAGGTGACCATGCAGAACCTCAACGACCGCCTGGCCTCCTACCTGGAGAATGTACGAGCTCTGGAGGAGGCCAACTCAGACCTAGAGCAGAAGATCAAGGGCTGGTATGAGAAATACGGGCCTGGTTCTTGCCGAGGTCTTGATCACGACTATAGTAGATATTTCCCAGTAATCGATGATCTTAAAAATCAGGTAAGAAATTACACGTCATCACGTTTGTATGTTCTTTTATTTCTAAATGTTCTTTTCACCAAATACTAAAAACATTTACCATCCCTACTTCTAATTTCTCAAAAGGAAGTTCAGTTTTGCTTTGGAAATAAGCATTAAGTAGATTCAAGTGGTTAACCTCATGCTAAAAATATCACTGACCAATAACTATATTAATTTTTATTATTTCCATTTCCTAATCTAAAAAAACCCCCACTTTTTATTGTTTATTGGTTGTAATAAATTGCCTTTAAAAAGTCAAACTTCCCATTTCTAGATCATCATTTCCACCACCAGCAATGCTAATGCTGTTCTACAGATCGATAATGCCAGGCTGACAGCTGATGATTTCAGGCTCAAGTAAGTAGACTCTCAGAGCAAAAAGAATTCATGGCGATTAATCCGAAGCATTAAGTTGAGTTTACTTTCTGACCCCTCCATTAAATATCACCAATTCTTATTCCAACACTACAAATAGACTTGGATTTAAAATGAACAAAATATTGTTACTTTTTTGTACTTGGGCTATGAACTGTAAAGTATGAACTGCATAAAAGTAGTACCCAGTATTCTTGTTCTGTTTCTGCCAAAGAACTACCTCAAAATAAGGAAAGTAATTGTTATTATACAAACTTTGAAAATGTCTCTTGTGGCCAAATCTGCCACTTCAAAATTCCAGAACTCTAGCATTTGATCATTGATTGGTGACTCCCTCAGCCATATGACAAACTGGATATTCATTAACACCCTTGAAGGTATGAAAATGAGCTGGCCCTTCACCAGAGTGTAGAGAGTGACGTCAACGGGCTGCGCAGAGTTCTGGATGAAATAACATTGTGCAGAACGGACCTGGAGATTCAGTATGAAACCCTCAGCGAGGAGATGACTTACCTCAAAAAGAATCACAAGGAGGTAGGGGCTGACGGTCTGTGTACATTTTGCTATCCCTCTGTAGATGCTAGCATCTAACAAGAGATAACATACTTGACGTCTTAAATTAGAAATTGGTCTTTAGAAATGGTGAAGCATTTGTACAGATTCACTGGTGCTGCCCCACGTTTCCCACAGGAAAAACAAGAGCAGTGTTTGGTTAGGTAATTATAGCTAAATTGAAGTGGCCCACTTAGGAGATTACATCTAATCAGATACCATAAATACGCTTTAAGGACATCCTAAGAAAACTAAATCTAAATACTTATTTAGAAATTCAACAGTGGCAGATTTAAAACCCTTAAACATTTACTTCATGCATGCATTAAGTACAGATACTGAATACATATTCTTAATAGGTATGGCCATAAAAATGAGACTGAAATTAAGTTGTGTCAAAATTTATACCTGCAGATAAATAATATGCTTCTAAAATGTTCAGCATTAGAAGCTGGATTTGAAACTGGATGCTCCAGCACTACTCTAGACACATCTCTGGGATTATTTTCAGAATCGCTGTTTTCTGAGAAAATCTTTGTGCTTTGAAAATGAATTTGGTATTTTTGAACAGTCAAAAGACTTCTGTAGTCAAGCCAAATACTTCAAGCAAGAGATCAAGCTAAGAATGCTACCTGATAAGTCATGAACCTATCTTGTAAATACAGATACTTAAAGAAGAAGATTTATACAGCTATACAGGTTCAAGAATGGTTATAGCCCATGGTAGTTATACTCAATACATTTTTGATGAATTGGATGCAACTGGTTTTTTTTTTAACGCCTCACTTACAGGCAAACCCACATGCATCGTTTTTGTCTTTTTCTTTTTTCTACTTGAACTAGAGAAGTTTTCACTAAATCCTTAGAATAACCACATCTGGAGACAGAGAAGCTTCAGGGACCAACAGGGAAGAAACTACCTGAGGGCGTTGGGGCAGGGATGAAAGAAAGCCTCGTTTTCACCTTCAGGACCAATCCAGGGCCAGGGACATGGGAGGGGGAGAGTCTCTGCAGCAGAGGCATCAGCTGATCAGACCACCCACAATCTCAGAGCTGATTCATGGGTCCCAGCAGCACACACCTCAGGTGGAATAATATGTAGACTTCAACTGAAAACTGATTCCACCTTCTATGATGGTGATGATAATCATAATAACCAGCAGTTATTTAGCATTTATATGCCAGGTTGTATGCTTGTCCTATTACTCATAGTAATTTCACATCTTTAAACAATCCAAAGACAATCCAAGAAGGATTTTTTTTAGCCTCAGTTTTCAGATAAGAAAATTGAAACTTAAACAAGTTGAGCATCTTTCCCAAGTTCATCAGGACACAAAAAGAACCAGAATTCACAGAGATACATCTGACACCAAAGACCATTACACTATAATGTCCCTGCATAAGCTAAATAACTTAATAGGTAGCTAGAATTCTTTAGAGGGTGGTGTTCTTCTTTTACTAATTATAAATAAATAAATGTGTATAATTATAAATAATTGTAAATGTGTAAACATAAATATTTATTTTCAATCATTTAGAATGCTCAGACCCCACCCTTCCACTAGGCTCTTGCTGCATTCAGGATACAGCTGAGCCAAGAATACACCAGAGCTGGTCTGTAAGTGGACTGGAGACCAGTTCACCAAAGTGCAGTCATTTCAGCTATAAATGAATTAATACAAGATTATGGAAAATTCATTTTAAATATCTTAAGGACTTTCATTTGGAAAAGGAATTAAGATATTTTCCCTGCAGCAGATGAATCGGGATTATAAAAGCAGGCGATTGCTCCACCATAAGGAAGAGCTCTGGAGCAATTAAAGCTCTTCCAGGTGACACAGGCCACTTCATGAGACGGGAAATAATAAAATGTTGCGGGGGTGTGGGTAACTACACAGCCAGGGAGGTGGAAACAGTTGAACTCTAAGAAGCTTTCCAAGGCTAAGCTTCCAGACTCTCTCTGAGGCCCCTGCATACCTGAGCTGAGCACCCTTCTGCCTCCAGGAAATGCAAGTTCTGCAGTGCGCGGCCGGAGGCAACGTGAACGTGGAGATGAACGCGGCGCCCGGGGTGGACCTCACGGTTCTGCTGAACAACATGCGCGCTGAGTACGAAGACCTGGCTGAGCAGAACCGCAGGGACGCGGAGGCCTGGTTCAACGAAAAGGTGAGTCTTGTCCATAAAACAATCCCGCTGCGTCTTAGTGATGTTCACGAAGCTAAGATTTGCTCCCTCGCTTCTACCTTTTCAGAGCGCTTCACTACAGCAGCAGATCTCCGAGGATGTTGGAGCCACAACCTCAGCCCGGAATGAGCTGACTGAGATGAAGCGCAACCTCCAAACCCTGGAAATTGAACTTCAGTCTCTCTTAGCCACGGTATGTAAAGGACTGTTTTTATACCATTATTACTGTCTCCTAGGCTACCATCTTAAATACTGTACATACCAGTTGGTTGTAAAGCCCTTTAACCATGTTGAGAATATATCCATATGTATTTTTATGTAATTAACTTAAAACATAAAGGAAGAATAGATTTTATATAGAACAGCTAAAATAGCAACATCAACGATTTATGCTCATTCTACCAAAATGAAAGACTTGCTCATTTTTTAGTGTCATAGAGTTTTCTCAGTTAAGTGTGAAATCTAAAATATTTATAGGAAAAATTAACAAGAGCAGAAAGTCATATGGTCAAAGCAAATTTCTGCATATCTGTATGTCTGTCTCAGTTCCTTTGTTGTTTCTGAACAGAAACACTCCCTGGAGTGCTCCCTGAGTGAGACCGAAGGCAATTACTGCGCGCAGCTCGCCCAGATCCAGGCTCAGGTCGGCGCCCTGGAGGAGCAGCTGCACCAGGTCAGAACCGAGACCGAGGGCCAGAAGCTCGAGTACGAGCAGCTCCTCGACATTAAGGTGCACCTGGAGAAAGAGATTGACACCTACTGCCTCCTCATCGGTGGAGATGATGGGTAGGTAAAATAATTTACAGGGAAGGTGTAATGAAATCTGTTTGAACATAAATTCTCTCTGAATCACTGTCTGTCCTGATGTTTTAAAAAATAATGTGTTCACAGCGCTTGCAAGTCTGGAGGTTACAAGTCTAAAGATTATGGATCTGGAAGTGTGGGAAATCAAGTCAAAGGTAATTAAAATGAAATTGTGTTTTTATGCTACAGTACTTCATTTTCAATGCATAGCTTGATTGTTTTCATATTCCCCCGGTTTAGTGAGGATACATATAGTAAAGATTTGTAGCAGATATCAATGTGTGCTGGATGTCTAACTTCAATGATATGTGCTAATTTTAAACAAAGTATAAAGTCACCATGTTTTCGGCTAACCAAGAAATCAAAATGTATGTGTCAGATTTTCCTTCCTTTTTAAGGCTGAATAATATTCCATTGTGTGATGTACCATATTTTTTATCCATTCATCCATTGATGCACACTTGGGTTGCTTCCACATTTTAGCTATCTTACCTTTTCCAACTCCCTAAAATCTCCTTTTAAATCTAATTTTTTAGATCTGGCCAAAGCCATAGTGGTTAAGAAAGTTCTTGAGGAAGTAGACCAACGCAGCAAAATACTTACCACCAGGCTCCACTCCCTGGAAGAGAAATCTCAAAGCAATTAATTTGAGACACAAGAAAGAGAATATGCTAAATACTCAACAAGAAGAGAAAGCATTATATATCTATCTAGGAAAATGAGCAAGTCTAAGAAAAATGTCTGTCCTATTGTCTTTCTGTTACTGAAGTATAATCTCTATCTGGGCAATCAGTGATGGAATCTTTCCATTCATCTGGAAGAATGGCACATACAAATGTGATGACCCATTTGATTACCCTACAGAAAATGTTGTCAATTCTTCATATTCAATAAACCTCTTCCTTTAGCAAGTTATCACTGTTGGTACTGTCTTATCTTTAAAATATCCATGTCTATGGTATGGATGCATGAATACCTAACAACTTTTGATTTTTATGAAAACTTAAAAAATAATTAACAGATTTCCCCCTAGTTTTTCATGAAGCTTTCCAAATAATTCAAAATGAGACAAATTCAGAAGAAATAAAAATACTTCCACTTAAATCCCCAACCTGCCATATTTTGTCATAATGACAAACCTATTCCCATTAGGAATAGCTAAAATGTATACATTTCAGGTTCATCTGTGAAATAATAGTACTTCTCTCAAGTGGTTATTGTGAAGATTAAACAAGCAATTATAAAGTACACTATGGCGTAAGCACAGAATAAATGCTGATTCTTATTTTTTAATACTTGATATTTACAATGATTAATTTTCAAATCTCATTTCCCTTTTGAATATACATTTAACCAATATTCCAAATGTAAGGGAAATTAAAGTAAAAGTTCCGATTTGGGATTCAAATTCTATTAACAGAATTATTTTGCAGATGACATGATATTGTACATAAAAAACCCTAAAGAATCTATTCCAAAACTACTAGATCTAATATCTGAATTCAGTAAAGTTGTGGGATACAAAATTAATACAGAGAAATCTGTTACATTCCTATATAATAACGATGAACTAGCAGAAAGAGAAATCAGGAAAACAGTTCCATAAAACACTTGTATTACAAAGTAGAGTTGATGTTTATAACTCTCTTGATCACCAGATTCATCCTTAATAAAGGAAAATAAATTATATGAACTGAAAACATAATTTCCTCAGTTCAAATATTACCCCTAGATACTTGTTATACTCTCAAACCTCTATGGGTGTATTATCCATGTTGTAATCCAGCCACAAAAATTTGATTTCAGGCTCTATCTGAAAAATACTAAGCAGAAAAGATAATCAGGTCCTTCAAGGGCACTAGTATTATCCTTGAATTATTTGTATTGTCTTCTTTTAATGAACCTTAGCCAGAGACCAAAATGCTTAACTAAGTCCCCCACCAGGTTACGTGAAACAAAAACATAATCTTAGAGAAATTTCTGCTTAGACAAAATATCTTGTACTTGTTTAAAGCAATCGATACCACTTTTCCCACCTATCATCAAAATCTACCTTATTAGAAGGATGCTTTCAAATGTAAACATTTGTCAAAATTTGTAGACCTATACACCTAAAAAAGGTAAATTTTAATATATGCATGTAAATTACACCTAGTGGTGTACAGACACTAACTTAAACTTCTATTATGTCACCAGAACCTGTTATGTACATCTCTACCCACCTCTTCCCAGGGCCATGTTGTATTCCATTTTATAAATGAACCACAACTTACACATCCACTCTGCTGTTGACAGGCACTTGGGTTGTATCTAGTTTCATATTGTGATGAGTAATGGTGCAATAAAACGTTTGTATACATTTCATTGACTGAAAAACCAAAGGAAATGTCTTAGATTAAAAACATGTTATCAGATCAGAGTTGGTCAGTGAGATCATAAAAAGTCATGACTGTGATGAGTCAGGTGTCTCCTGCTCCTTATCTACTCTGGAAGCTTTGAAAGGGAGGGGTGCTTACTTTACACATTTTTACCATCTCCCCACGATGCTGCAAAGCCCATGCCTTGCACCAGCTTGGTGCTCAATCACTGTTCCATTAATAAGTATTTGCAGACTGACAGTCTTGGCCTGAAAGGAGAGCCTGGGCCCCCGGGACATACTCGTATTTCTCTGATGGCAGAGGAGGAAAGTAGAGGGGCAGAGATGGGTCCCTGAGGAGAGAAAGGGGGTATAATATAAGGCCCACTGGAAGCACCGAGGCCCTCTGCCCCCTGTCCTCCAAAGTGAGGGACCTGGGATGTCCCTCCAAGGGCCAGTCTCCCATCTGAGATGAAGTACTTGTTATCTGCAACAGATGGAAAATTGACCAGTTTTGGTGAAGGAAAAATCGTATTAAAAGCAAATGAAAGTGATTAAGATGTGTGCTTGTAGCATAAAAAAAGAGAAGTAGGCTATAAAAAAATAACACTGGGAAATATCAACATTTAAGGAATAGGTGGAGAAATAAAAATTGAAAATCAGGAGACGGTATGGGAGACTGTTTTGGCTGATTCTCCTATTAGAAACAACTAAAAATGCTGGGTTAAATCCTTTTATAATCTTTGTAAAAGCATTGACCAGCTACTAATAACTTAAAGAAAATTCAGATCTTCCTGCCCACGGTGGGAAGAGTAAGCAGAGAGCCTCCCCTACAGGTGTGGGCCCCAAAGGGTCATGCATTCGGTGCAGATATGACTTAGAAATTAATTCACCCCACTGTCAGGGACTCCAAGGGAAGTTTCCTTTCTCAACCATTGGCATAAGGAGAGGAGGGAAAAAATACCCTTGAGAATATATTTAGTTACAAGCCAAACTTCAGACAGATTTGTAACCAACATTCACATTATCTGGCTGATCCAATAATGGATCAATCAAGCTGACAATTCAATTTAAGAGGATCCCAGTACACACTGGCACACCCCCAGTGACCTAATGGACATATACTACAATGTTGGGAAGAGAGTCTATCTTAAATGTTCTCACCATAAAAAAGATACAGTAACTATGTGATGGGATGGAGCTGGCAGCTACTACTATCGTGGTCATCATTTTGCAATTTGTAAATGTATTAAACCAACATATTGTACACCTACCTTTAATTTACATAGTGTTGTGTGTCAGTTACATCTCAATGAAGCTTGGAAAAAAGAAAAAGAGTAAAACTCAGGATGGCGATGACATCTGAGCAGGAATAGGTAGGGAGACACAGTAGGGAGAATAGCAGGGTCTCTAAGATATGGGCATATTTCATGTTATTCTTTAAACTACACAGATAATATTTTTAATCTTTTGCATGCAAGATACTTTACAACAAAAAAATTTTAAAGAGATGCCAGAAATGGTGTCAAGATTTTTAAGTAAACATAGCTAGAAAATGCCGATGCTTTGGGAGAAGTAGCAAACTGCAGGGGAACGTCAGTGCCATGGAAAGATGATATTTTTTAAGAGTAGAGCTAACATATGACCCAGTAACTGCTATGCTAGGAATTTACCCAAAGAAAACAAAATCTCTGATTTGAAAAAATATACACACCCCTATGTTTATTGCTGCCTTATTTACAATAGCCAAGATATGGAAGCAACCAAAGCGTCCATCAAATCATGGTGTAGTACATTTACACAATGGAATATTATTCAGCCATAAAAAGAAAGAAATCCTGCCATTTTCAACAACATGAATGGACCTAGAGAGTATTATGCTCAGTGAAATAAGCCAGGCAGAGAAATATCATATGATCTCACTTATTTGTGGAATATAAAAACAAAATAAAATAAAATGAACAAAAGAGCAGTGGACTCAGAATCTGAGAAGTGACTGGTGGTTACCATGGGGGAGGGGGTGAGCTGGGTGGGTGAAGACGGTGGGGGGATAAAGAGGCACAAAGTTCTCATCGTAATATAAGTTGTTCGCAGGTATGGTAAGTACAGCATGGAGAACACAGCCAATGATTCTGTAACATCCTCCAATGTGGGCAGACAGTAACTGCTCTAGTTGGGGTGAGGGTTTAATAATGTGTGTAACTGCTAAACCACTGTGTTGTATATTTGAAACCCATATAATATTGTATATCAACTACACTTCAATAAAAAAATTTTTTTCATTGTTAAATGATAATTTTTTTAAACAGAAAGATGGTGAGTTGAGTTTGGAACATGGGCATTGAGGTGAGGACAAGTGAACCCATTTCTTAAAGGAAAAGAAAAAGCCAGAGCAGGAGAGGAGGTTTTGGATTCCACAGGAGGGAGGTATCACTAGAGGCGCAAAATTAGATGCAAATGAAGAGCTCTTCCAAAAGTAGAGAGCAGAGGTCTGAGAAATACACTGAGCAGTGGAGAAGGTACCCTTAAGCCTGCTTCCTCTGGAAACTTCAGGAAACCAGGAGGAGAAAGAGGTAGTAATGAAGCCAAGAAAGAGTATCATGAGCTTCCCAGAACAAACAATGCAGCCTTGATAAGTGTGAGTATAAAAGTTACTCCCTGCCAAACAGAAAGCACTTTTTATTTCATGCCACTGCAGTTCTGTGCCACTGTTCCCATTCATTAAATAACAATAATCAATAATTTTCTCAGTAAAAAGACTCTTACTCAGTAATACTACTTCATTTGGAAAGCATTCTTGAAATGTAATGATAATTATGTCATAGAAAGAATACAGCTCTCCAGGAATATTTTCAGAGTTTCTACTTATCTTCTGCCATCACCACCTCATTCCTGCCCAGTTCCCTGGAGAGCTTGTTCATAACAACTCTGGGAATTTTCTGGTGTTTACATTGATATCTTCCCAGATAAAGTCTTGCTTCCTGAGGAAACCAAATCTTATAAAATTGCATCTGTCCTTTCTCAGGTATTCTCTTATATCCACACAGATCTGTACAGGCCATCAAACTGCCCAAAGGGTGATTTATATTCAGTTATAAGAATAATCCAAGTGGAAGAAGGGAGATGATATTGAAACCGATATGTCATAGTCTTAACCTTATCTGCAAACTTCTCTGATTTGTTCTTTTAAAACATATCGCCATGCCACTGGAGAATGCTAACAAATATTAGCTGAATTTGTAACTGGTGCTTTCATACGTTTTATGTGGAATAACTCCAACTAGGTCCCATTTCTCTTTTAATCTTTATAGAGGAAGGTAGATAGGTCAGTGTGAGCAAAGGCAATACTATTATCCATTGATTTGGTCCAAAAAATTCAAGTGCCCACTACAGTCCTAGGACCAGGATCTATGGGAATCCAGACAAATCCACTTCTGCTTTCATCGACCTTAATACTTACAGAGGGAGACAGAGCAAAGTGAAGAAACAAGAACATTGGATGCTGCTGCTAGCCTTAGAGATGATAAATAAATTGGTAGTCTATGGGCTG